TGCGTCAGCATTTCAAAACTCCTCCTTTTTGTCCTGTCTAAAACGCCCTCCGGAGATTCAAAACAAAAACGGAGCTGCAGTGTTTCTAAACTTATCAGTTTTAAGTTTTCGTTTTTTCCGTTTTAGTGTGGACGGGAGGTGCGAACGTAGCAAAAGGACTCAGAAAGGATGTAGGAAAGGCAGTAGTGTGGGCCTAAGACTATAATATAATGTTTCTTTGTGCAAGGCACAAGTGACATACCCTTTTAGGTAATCCATTATCAATGCAATCTACAAAGAGGGAACAAAAACAACAACATGATCAAAAATATGACATAAAGGTGCAATAAACTAGCAAACAGAGAAAGTAAATGCAGAAACACTTCATACCGCAGTAAGCTGTACACAGATTTGATGTTGTATTAACCCGATATTGGCCATCAGGACAGTAACAACCTTCGGTTATAGTTTGGTTACAATCTTTGCATTCATTTTCCCCATATTTAGCATTGTACCTAGTTGAAAAGTACAATAGAAATAGAAATTTGTCAGTGATAACGACTGTTAAAATGCAGTCAATTTCAGAGCATTCAGTATTATAATTATAATACAATAATAATAGTATAATATGAATACAGTTATAATGAATATGGACTGATAAGGATTATTACGATGTACTGCAGGATTTTTCCACTTTAGGTCCGCATGCCTTGTAGACTTTGTTTTCGGGGCACTGGTATTCTGTTACAGAAATCAATGACAAGATTCATAGTCCTTTCAGATACAGTATTGTAGTATCATGAATTACAACAGTGAAAGTACAATCAAATGTATGCACGCTCTTTACACATTTTAATGTTACTACAATCTTGAGTGCATTTGTAAATTTACCACATATCCCTTTGAGGATAGGGGAGCTTCTCCAGTCCACACAGAGAGACTTCTCTCCACATAGTTGTGCATAGGCCTCCAGACTAGCACAGGCAACAGAGTCTTTTCCCATTCTGAGTACGTCATATTTACATGCCTCATAATAGTCATGATAGGGAACGGCGTCATGGCAGCTTTTAAATAGACTGTGAACAAAATACAAAATTGTGAGCCCCTCAGCCCCCAATAAACGACACTGATCTCAATAGAGAATACTAAACACAAACATAAATTGTAAAAACATCATGATTCAGTTATGTTTAATTATGCTTTTTATAGTTTCACTCTGTTAGGAAAAAAAACTTTGTCCTTGGCTTACTTGTACTTGATGATTTCACAGACAGTTGGAGGTGGTTCTGTAGTAGGAGGATGGGGTCCTGGAGGAGGAGGAAGAGGGGAAGGAGGAGGAGGTGGAGGTAATTCACATCCTGGGGGGACCATCCAAAACTGTGCCATGTGCTCACATGAGTTGTCGATTGTTCCATTAGGAAGTCTGCAGTCATCTATAGTGCTGTTGTCACAAAACCCTACATAATATCAACAGAATTTCAAATAGTTAAATAGACAGCAAAACTGTGTACCATGATGGGGAATATTCAGCTGCAGAAATTTAGGATGGAGGGAACTTTATAGGCCAATTCAACAACCAATATATATTCATGTAGACCTGTCAGATAGAGGATTTTAGTTACTCTTTAATGAAAACAAAGTATCTTTTTTTGCAAAAGGTGGTTTTCTAATTTAAATGAGTACTATCAACAGTATACTTTACTCAAGACAGCTTTGATGACAATTAAATTCTGTCACAACAAATACAATTAGTTTTCCTTTATGTAAAATAGCTCTATCAATCGCAATTGCATTTACTGAAGAAAGAGATCTGTACTCACCACATTGTCCCCGAGTATTATGATGGAAGTAGGAGAATGGCAGTTTGATTTCGATGTTTAGATTACTGACTGTAATCTCAGTTTTGATTTCAGAGATGTTCAGACTCACTTTCATGCCAGTTGTGGTGATGATGATAGTGTCATCAATTACATGTGTTGGAATCTTCTTTACATCATTAACATAGATCTAAAGGAAATATTTATAATGAAAGTTGTAAGAATGTGTGTTACATGAACATGCTGTAGAGCAGTATTGCAGTGTAAACTCATATTAGCATTGAAAATGTTTTTTAGGGATTCTAGATAGGTTTTTAAATAGAGGTCTGCATTCCCTCAGTAACTACAGGACCTGATTAGATCTCTTGAAGTACAGGATTACATTTCTGAGTTGAAGATGGGAGTGGGCGGTACTTCTGTGATTTGAGGGTGAAAGTGGGTTTTATAGGTCTATGTTTCTGAGTATAATGTAGTTGAGCACACAACTGTGCACACAGCAATACATGCAACAAATAAGGTAGTCCTCTGAGCAGGCTAACAGGTGGTCCATTTTAACAATGAAAAAGCAAAGATTAAAAAAAATCCTGGACCTATTTTTAAATACTTATGTTTTTTAAGAGATTTTGAGTTTTTGTAAACAATTTTGTTTGAATAAACTTACATTGACAACATCATTTATGTCACTTTGCATCTGGATTTTGTAGGATTTGTAATACACAATTACATACTCGGGGCAAGCAAGATTTTCTTCTGTATTACAATAATAGTTTTTAGCATGGACACTGATATTATATTTTGGGATGATTTCTTCGAACAAAACATAAGTGCAGTTTCCATGAAAAGCAAAATATTGTCCATCAAAAGTTCTGTAATGAGGGTCACCCCAGGTCTTGCAGAAACCTGTTGGTGCAAAAAACAGAATTAAAAGTATTGTAGGCAGGAATTGTATAAAAAAATTTTTTTTCCAAATTTGTTTAAACATTCTGTATATATATATCAATGCATAATTAAAATGTAAGTACTCTGAAAAAGAAAGTATAAAAATCGAGTGTCTGTAGACCTCTCACGACTGTTTTAAAGACAGCTCATTATTTCCATTCACTTCACCCCGTACTTTCTGGGCTCCTTCCAAAGCCACGCCCCCAAAACACATGAACACACAACTTCAACCGCTGAGCTGAAGACGCAGTATTTACCAGAGACGAGCAGAGAGGAAGGAGCGCAGTGCATGTAGTGACATCATGTCAGAATCACATGTAATAAAAAAATCTAACTATATCATTATTAAGATGAACAAATAAGATGTATTTTAGTACTCACTATCAAGCATCAAGCTATTGGTAAAGTTTTAAATATATATTTATTGATTCGATAACGAGCTAGTTATCTAGGCAAAGCTAAAAACAGGTTGCATGATACATGTTTTTACATTGCCATCATTTAAACTGTGATGAAGATGAATTTCGTGTAAGATTCATAACATTTATGGTGTTCGGCATGTAAGAGTTTCCATGATGAAAGCATTGTTGAAACCGATGACGAGAACAGTGGGGTTAATAGCATTTATGAGTCTTCCCCTACCATTCTAGGAAAAAAAATATCGCTCCCCAGATGTAGATCTACATTTGATCTACTTTGTTTTGCATTGGACATTTAACGGCGTGTACATACACAGATAGCACAAAATGTGTATAGATAACACGCCAAACGCCACTTGACTTGAAAGTGGCGTATATGTTTACACAAAAGTCATGATGTCATGTTGACACTCCAGAGACAAGTAGCCTACCGGATCGTCAGCTCGAGGACAGGTCCGTGGTCGAGGGCGAAGCAGAGGAGGTCGTGCAAGAGGCCGTGCAACTAGAGGCCGAGGACGGTGTGGTCAAAGTGCAGGGCAAGGAGCAATTTTTAGACAAGAGGACCTGTGTCGAGTTTTGCATCTTCAAGCTCAAACAAAGGCATGCGAACAGGTACGATCTGGATACGTGCAAGTGGGCAGGTCCTGTGTGGCAAAAGGGTGGTTGCCATGGTTGCGAGAGAGTGACAGCCACCTAAGCCAATCCTTTGTTTCGTCCCAGTTTGAAATAATGAGCTGTGTTTAGTGCAGATTAAACGGTCTAGAGTCACTCGATTTTTATACTCTTTTTATCAGAGTACTTACATTTTAATTATGCATTGATATATATAGAAAGTTTAAACAAGTTTGGAAAAAAGTTTTTATAAAATTCCTACCTACCAGACCTTTAAATATTATGCACTGCCAAAAACAATAGCATTTTTGACAGCACCTTTAAGATCAATTAGAACAAAAATGTCAACAAAATTTTTTTTAATATGATTTAAACTCACATTCACACTCATACTTATAGCAGCAACCATTCTTATCATACACCTTCACAGGATCTAGTCCATTAACACATTGAGGTTTTGGAATTATTGGATCACAACGTACAGGATCTTTGACGATTTTTCCATCTTTGCATGTTTTAATAGTGCATGCGTCTATCTGTTAAAAATAAAAGAGATGAACAAAGTTTAATAAAACAGGGTCAATTCATATTTTATAATATTATTATTGTTTGACTTAAGTCATTTATACTAGTTATGCACTGAAATAATAAATACAAATAGAATTAGAGGAATTAGAATTAGTCTCTCTTATTACCGTGTGGTTGTCGAATCTAGCCTCTTGTACAATATAGCAAGAAGAGTTGCAGTAGGTAGTATAGCATTCATTGTATTGGTCGATTGTTGACCCTATAATTATAATCAAAAATTTTCAGAGAAAGCAAAAAAAGATCAGTTTAAACTTCTAAACTGTTACAAAATCAGATAAATTTTTAAATGTGACAGTAAATCAATCTAATAAACAACTTTACATGGACTAAACAGACAAAAAAACTCATTAAAGCAGTACTTACCTGCTAGGTATTTTGCACCTTTGTATGTGCAGTAACATGTGTTAGTTGTTCTAGTTGTTGTAGGTTTTGTAGGAGTTTTGGTTGAAACTGTAGTGGTTGTAAAGGTAGCAGTAGATGTTCCTGTTGTTGTAGACGGTGGTGTTACAGTTGTAGTGCTAGTTGGTATTGTAGGAGTTGTAGTTGACACTGTAGTAGTTGTAGAGGTAACAGGAGATGTTTCCGGTGTTGTAGATGGTGGTGTTACAGTTGTAGTGCTAGGTGGTATTGTAGGAGTTGTAGTTGACACTGTAGTAGTTGTAGAGGTAACAGGAGATGTTTCCGGTGTTGTAGACGGTGGTGTTACAGTTGTAGTGCTAGTTGGTATTGTAGGAGTTGTAGTTGACACTGTAGTAGTTGTAGAGGTAACAGGAGATGTTTCCGGTGTTGTAGATGGTGGTGTTACAGTTGTAGTGCTAGTTGGTATTGTAGGAGTTGTAGTTGACACTGTAGTAGTTGTAGAGGTAACAGGAGATGTTTCCGGTGTTGTAGACGGTGGTGTTACAGTTGTAGTGCTAGTTGGTATTGTAGGAGTTGTAGTTGACACTGTAGTAGTTGTAGAGGTAACAGTAGATGTTTCTGTTGTTGTAGATGGTGGTGTTACAGTTGTAGTGCTAGTTGGTATTGTAAGAGTTGTAGTTGACACTGTAGTAGTTGTAGAGGTAACAGGAGATGTTCCTGTTGTTGTAGACGGTGGTGTTACAGTTGTAGTGCTAGTTGGTATTGTAGGAGTTGTAGTTGACACTGTAGTAGTTGTAGAGGTAACAGGAGATGTTTCTGTTGTTGTAGATGGTGGTGTTACAGTTGTAGTGCTAGTTGGTATTGTAGGAGTTGTAGTTGACACTGTAGTAGTTGTAGAGGTAACAGGAGATGTTTCCGGTGTTGTAGATGGTGGTGTTACAGTTGTAGTGCTAGTTGGTATTGTAGGAGTTGTAGTTGACACTGTAGTAGTTGTAGAGGTAACAAGAGATGTTTCTGTTGTTGTAGATGGAGGTGTCACAGTTGTAGTGCTAGTTGGTATTGTAGGAGTTGTAGTTGACACTGTAGTAGTTGTAGAGGTAACAGGAGATGTTTCCGGTGTTGTAGATGGTGGTGTTACAGTTGTAGTGCTAGTTGGTATTGTAGGAGTTGTAGTTGACACTGTTGTAGTTGTAGAGGTAACAGGAG